AAGTTCACTTTGCTGCATTCTCTTTATTATAGTAGTAAAGTATTTTTAGAAAGTGTCTTCTCTGAACCAGGAAAGCTTCTTTTGTAAAACAGCAGAATCACTTTGCAGAAATTCAGAAATGGGCCAGCTGTTTACTATTATAGTTATATCCTTTTCTACTACGAAAAGGATTTATTTTTATTTCAGATATTTTTTTTTACAATAGGAACAATATTATCCACCTACAGGCGGATTATTTATAGTTCTAGCAAATATTTATGCTACCACAGAAATATGTCTTTCCAGCAGTTTTTTGTTTGTTTCTACTTATAGTGAGGCTGGATCAATCGCTTGTTAGGCCTTGTTAGTTAACAAAACCTTAGGTTGTGTGGATGTCAATATAACATTGTTTTTGTGTGGCACATTCTAAGCATAATTTGTTAACTAACGGACTTAACCAACGATTGATCTAGCCGCACTAGGAAAATCCAGCTCTTCGTAAGTTAAACCTATAATTTTTTAAACCTTGGAACTAGAGGAAAAAACCATTGGGTTGGTTTTACGAGGTGGTAAAATCGCCAGTAGAAATAATTTCAGTTGCTGGAAAAAAAAATTCTGTGGCTACAATAAATAATTATTATTAGAACTATGTACCGTAATAAAAGAAATAATCAAGATGTTGGCCAAACGGAGTCAGCCAGATTGAGCACATAGTACCAACAAGAGGCCTTCCCGCGCAGTTCCGTCGTCTATGAATGCAAACTCAGAAATGCGAAAAGAAAAGATGGAGATGGACACGCTTCTACAGGATTGGCGAAACGCAGTGGCGTGTTTACCATGTAAGCTAGGGAAGCACAGCTTCCCCTCGAGGATTTATTAAGAACATTAAACTAAACTTTATGCAGACATTTTCAAAAAGAAATATAATGAAACTTGTGAATGGCTGACTGGTTCTGAAATTATAAGTCTCTCCTGTCCTGTACTTTCACCATCTTTCCCCACAGCTTCCCCGTCTGTTAAAGTCTGGACACGCCACTGGCGAAACGGCGAAACGAAGAGCGACGAGAATAGCCGATCTAAAGTTTATAGATTATTGCTCTCCCGAATCAAATATGTTCTTTTTTATAGTAGTAAAGTACTTTGCCATTCTTGCAAAAAATAATTTAGAAATAATTTTTACCAGTAATAGCAAAGCACTTATTCATTTTAGAAAAATACATTTCTGGAGAAGTAGATAGATACTTGTTAAAAAAGTTAATTTCTGGAATAAGAAATAAACTATTCTATTTCAAGAACGTAATATGCATTTTTAGTAAAGCTTTGACTGAAAAGTTAATTTTACTGGCCCAAAAAAGTATTTTTATAGGTACCGAGAAAATTCTGCCTATCTTAGTCAAAAAAAGTTTAGGAAATAATTTTTTGCTGGGAATTTTCTCAGTGCATATTTGGTATGAACTTATTCAAATATGTTATCATGCCTAGCAACCTTTGTAGTTCTGTTATATTTGTTGGTACCTTTAAGTTTTTGATAGCTTTCACCTTGGTATCATCAATTTCAATACCATTTTCCGATAAAATATGCCCAAGAAACTTAACTCTTTTAGCATTGAAAATGCATTTTTCCTTATTGAGTTTCAATCCAGAATTTTCCAATGTTTCCATTACTTTTTTAGTAATTTTTTCTACACCTTCTTGGGAGTAGGAATAAATAAGAATATCGTCCATTGAGCAGTGAGTGTTTAGAATGTTTTTCAACAAGGAACTCATTATTTCTTGAAATACCTCTGGTGCTGAACAGATTCCAAATGGTAGACTAGTGAAACTAAACTGCTTCCGAACAAGCAAATTTTTTCGCCTAATACAGATTAATTTTTTTTGAAATAAATTGCTATATGAAAACCAGGGGTCGATATTTCCCTTTTGTTCGAGAGCAATTGTTTAGCAGTTTATAACGCCCCCATGGTGTTGAAAACGTGAGATATTTTTGAGACTGCTCTGCAACTTTTATTTGCCAAAACCCCCGTTTGCAATCTAAAAGTGTAAAATATTTGGCTCCACGTATTTGTGCTGAAATTTCTTGCATTGTTTTCAATGGATAATGTCTTCTTAAAATGTTTTTGTTAACATCTGTAGGATCTATGCAGATTCTTAATTTACCTTTTTCACTAAAAGTTACTAGCGAACTGACTGCAGGAGTAGGTTCTGTCACGGGCTTAATGACACCTAACTCAACCATATTTTTCAGTTCTTTTTTCACTTCATCTCGTATAGCAAAAGGTATTTTTCTTGCAGGCCTTATTGCAAACTTTGGATTTCCTATGAAATCAATACTGTATTCATAATTTTTCAAAAAACCGAATCTTTGAAAAATGCTATCATTGGACTTTGTTGTCCCGCAGGAATGTACACGTACAATTAAACCTGGTTCGTGACAGGATTTTCTTCCTAGAATCCCAGCTATTTTGTCATTTGAATAGCTAACCAAAGTTTTAGTTTTTGAAGGTTTCAACTGCAATTTTAGTTTATCAAAAAGCCGCTTTCACTGTTCACAAGTCGCTATCTTTTTTAGTATTGAGCGAATGAACAAAAAGTACTGCATGTATTTCATCTTCTGAATCGTCTTCATCTAATGTGTTGACTTTTTTCTTTTTTAACCAACACTTGCTAACAAAATGTCCTGTTTTTTTACAATATTCACATTTTTGTTTATAAGCTGGACAATTTTTTTTTTATGCTTAGTTTCGCATCTTCTTCAAAAGAACTCTTCGCGATCACTGTTTTTTTTTTTTTTTTTTTTTTTAATGCATCGACCTGATTCGTCTCCGTAGTGTCTATTTCTTTCGAATGTTTTGTTGCTTGTTCGCTAGCTTTGCAAATAGTAACTGCTTTATTCAAATCGAGGCTCTCTTCAGTGAGAAATTTTTCACGCATTTTATCAGATTTTACTCCAAAAACAATTTTATCTTTTAGAAGACTATCATGTAGTTGGCCAAATTCACAGGTTTTCGCATGAGTTTTAATATTCATAAGAAATTCATCAAAATTTTCGTCCTCTTTTTGGATAATTTGGAAAAATGGATATCTTTCAAAAGAAACATTTAGTTTAGAGATTAAATATTCTTCAAAATTACTCTTTAGTACGCTAATATCCTTCTTCTCATCATCAGATAATCGAAAATTATTAAATATTTCTACAGCATCTGGGCTAATGATAGCCATAAATGTAACTTGAACTTGTATCCAATTTTTCCATTCTCTCGCCATATTTTCGGAGTTCAAAACAAGGTGCTTTGGAGGACGTACACCAATAACTCCAGATTCGTTATTTGTTGGTTCTGTCATATTTATTTATGCTGGATTCGTTATTTCTGACACCATGTAACGATAAGTTATACTTTTATAAGATAATTCATTGTATTCATTTGACAAGATTATGGCAAAACTAAAACTTGACATTGAGATGAAACTGGTTAACAATTATTAAATACAGAACATAAAATATAATTCACACTACCGGTGGTCTAACATCTCCAACCATAATGTCTCTCTCTCCAACTTCTCACCTAAAATACATCCGCTTGTAGTGTATTCTTTTCACGGTCTATTCACATTTTAAATTTATAACACATTTATCTATTTATTATTCTACTGAACAAGACTGTAATTTAAACTTCATTTTTTAGTTTGAAGACGCGAATGCAGCATATGAGGACGACTAGGAAGATTTTATGGACTCCCCATCTCCTCTAATGAAGTGTTGGACCAATAAATTCATTGTCCTACGATTTTAAATGCGAATAAAGCAGATTTTTTTAAATAATGTTTATTTTGTCCGCCCAATAACTCGCTTACAATTAGTTCTACGACAAAAATGCATAGGACCATTTTTGTAGAAAATTTTGTTAGCATTAATTGTTATCAATTATAAAAATCTATAGGACTGATCGTTTTCGAGATTTAAGCGAAAAACTGGAAAATGGTACCTTTAACCCGCACCCCCTCATCGAGCTCACCCCCACCCTCAGGGACTTTTGATATAATATGTCTACCCGAGTGTAGAGTAAGCGTTTAAAGAAAATTCCAACTCTCTAGGAATTTTTTCCACCGATTTGCTTAATTTGACGGAGGCAGCTTTAGGGTCTGTAACGGAGGGGAGGAAAAACATTAAAGCTGGATGAGCTGCTTCGAGTGAGAATCCTATCAACTGAATAGATCTATGCAGGGAACAATACCCCCAATTCGTTCATTCATTCATTGATCCTCAATTAACAATAATTATCAAGAAAAATAGAGTTTACATAGTAGGTGATCTTTTAGATCACGTATAGGCGGTTTTGACTATAAACAGACAAAAGCACAATCCAAGCTGAATAAGGCAAAAAGAAAACAGTCTAGATCAAGTGTCTATATAGATGATTTTCTTTTAATTGCTGAGGAAAAATTTGGCCTACTTTCATTTGACATGTTTTCATTGAGGTATCTAATTCAATCAAACAAAATTCCTAATCAGAAGCTACTGATGATGATGGTCATGATGAGAGAGTAAAGACGAAATTATTGCACAAATTCAAAGTGGCTTATTGCAACACTGAACATTATAATTAATTCGAAACAAAAGATTTATTGCACTTTATATTGATGCTAATTATCAGCAGAATTTCTCTTGAGAATTTATTTTGTTTGCACATCTTGGTTGGCAATCGCTAATTCAATGAAAACATACCTAATGTCTAATTTAATTTGCAAAATTGCCCTTTTAACAGAATAATGCACCATTATTCTATAGGTGACAAATAATTGATGTGCATTGCATATACCATGGTGTTATTAAATTTGAGCTGCCATTAGCAAATTGTAATGTATGTTATTATTCAACAAGAAACGCCCGTTTAATAGAAAGCGACATTTTAATATCAATAATGAGGTAAAATTTAAAAACCCAATTTCGCTTTATGAATTTGAGCGTGTCCATTAAACCGCAATGTTTTATTTATTAAATTGATTCATTATGAATAACTTACCAGCTGATTATTGAAAGTTCCTATTGCACCGATCATAACAAAACTGGCTGCTATTAAATAGCGCCCTATCAGCCCCTGCATTTTTAAAAGTCCTTCTGCGATTTATCGGCCCCATTTATGCCAGAAATCATTCTTCTATTTATGATTGTGTTTTTCGTAATGATCGCTGCATTTTACTTGTTATTGAAGATTTCTGTAGAAGAAAATACAACTATTAACTTGACTTGAATGGTTATAATAATGATATTTTGGCATGTAGAATCATTAGAATAAAATTATCTATAGTTAAATAGTAAATTTTAGACCACTTAGATCAAAGCTATAAGGAAATTGCTTCTAATAATACCAAATAAGGAATATAATCAACATAATATGTAATTGAAATCATATGTTTTAAAAAAAAAGTCATATATTTCAAAAAGTTTTAAATTTTGATTCAAAAAATCCAAATCCAAAAATTCTTCCAGAAGTTCACTTTCAACATCATAGTACACATTCCTATAATAATTATTCTTAGATAGGTAATCTATAAAGGCTAATTATACAAAAAAAAAACACATGCCATTGAACAAATTCATACATATTCATAACATGTATCTCGTTTATGAAGACAAAATTGAATTTTTGAACAATACATTAATGACCTTTGCATATTTTCATATGAATTATTGCCATCATGCAAAGGCATTTTTTTTGACAATGTCGTAACGGATCTATTGTTTTAAGAGGACGTGAAGTGAGAAATATAGCGCCTGAATGATCAGATACCCAGAGAGAAAAAATTCATATGATTGTTTTGAAGAATGAGCATAAATTAATAATTGTTGATCTTGATAAAACTTAATTGTCACGCTCAAAGACAATTATTATTGCGTGTTGACACTAAAATACATCGCTAACCTTTGATGGTTTTTTGAATAGCTGAAGTGTGTAATCCGTTAGGCAGGAGTTTTAACAAAAATAATTATTTTTACACTTGCTTGACGACTCATGAGCGAAACATAACAAAATCGATTAAAGCATTAAAGGTCTTCAACCACAATATTTTAGTGAGCGACCTATCACGAATGCTAATTGGGGTGACATTTGTAAAGCATTTTCCTTGATATTGATTATAATGCCAAAAAAAAATTAGAATTCTACACCAATTTGAATTTCTTCCTTAAAAAAAAAACAACACATATATGAAAATAACAATAAAACATACCTATGTTTGAATAAATCTCGAAGTCTTAAATCAATTCACGTAATAATATTTATAGTGGATGGTGATGGTACTTCTTCAGCGATGCACGGTACCGCGCACGAGGTACTGTTTAACCGTCAACTAGTCTATTAGGCCCGAGAGCAGTTGACAGAAGGTACTTCTACCATTTCCACCATCCACGACCATCCGACCATGCACTTTTTACCATTTCTATTTGTTTTAGCCAACCAGGAACGATAGTTTGTTGTATTATTATGTTATAGAAAAAAAAAGTTGAAGCGTCCTTGCATTCCCTTTTTTACATCGAAAAGATAAATCGAACACACCCAAATAGTTTCTTCTTGTCTTTGCAAAAAACAACTTGTTATCTTGTGTATCAGTTTCAGCTCATAAAATGTCTTGGAGGCAATTTAAAGAATGTTATTGGGATTGTCATTAACTCACGACAAATTCTATCGCCTTTGGAATAAATTTCTGCACGCGTCTTGTTTTTTTTTTTCAGCAGCAACTGAATAAAATGAGAAGGTTCTATACTGGAAATTCCGGAAAAGGTTGATGCAGCTAGTTCTTGACGAGTATCAAAAAAAGAAGAGCTTCAAAACGCAATACCAAATGCTTAAAAAGAATTTACTGGAAGAAAACTTATTTATAATAGCAACTCCTGAAAAGCTGTCTATGAGAAGCTAGGTATACTTATACATTAATTATCGGTTTATAACGTTCTACGTCTTCCGATTCCTGATCTTCAACCATCTCTGTCTCTGCGAATCCAGGCATCCTCCCCTAAGCCTCTGTCTCTCATTTCTACGTCTCAGCTTCTTCTTTGTCTGCCGCGTGTTCTACTTTCCCCCTGGCTTCCATCCAATAATTTGCCTGGGTATTCTTGTATCTGCCATTCTTTGTACATGTTCGAATCAGTTGTTTGTCCTTTATATCATCTACTATTGTTTGTTTCACTTTTATAATCTCCCCAATTCTCAGATTTGTGTAGGGATGTTGCCTTGCGTCCTTGTATATTCTGATCAATGGCTTCGTCTAGAGTTCCCTCATACAAGATTTTCATACAGTAGAGATCGTATTCGTTGAGGGGTATTCCCATATGTCTGCATTTATTTTTCCACCCCTCAAACGCTTGTTCTAAGCATATTTTAAAACTTGTTGGTGATATGTAGCATCTCTGTTTGTCCTTTAATTACTGTAAAGCCTTTACTGATTATGCTTCCCTGTTTAATCTTGGTCTTCGTAACACTAGAGCGTTTTAACTGCCGTTATTAGTTTTATGTTGATATTGGTCTTTTCCAGTGCTTCCCAAAGCTTTTACAGCAAAATATTGTCATATGCTTTCTTAAGATTTACAAAGAGTAGGTAAATGGAGTTTTTAGTTTTTTGGTTATACGCTAGTTTCTTTTCTATTACCTGGGTCAAACTAAATAAGTGGTCTACAGTTGATCTTCCTGCTCCAAAACCGGCCTGTTCATCTGTCTCACTATCTTTGTACTCGTTCTCCATTTTGGCTTTTATAACTACTCTTGAAGAATCAATAAAGGAGAGCTTCGAAAAATCAATACCAGAAAATTGTTGAACAAGTAACTAATTCAATAACTACCTACCTCTTAGGAATCAATTCAAGAAAAGAGTTTCCGACCCCGATACCAAGGAGTCGGAAATTGTTGAAGAGCCCGCACTAATTACTTCTGATATATCAATTTCGAAAAGAACCAACACCAGAAACTTTAGAAAGTACTATGCAAACCACCTACTAGCCTGAAGAATCAATTTGAGAAGTAGAGCTTCAAGAATCAAGCAATTCAAGAGGAGGTTGTTGAAAAAGCACTTAATTCAGTTGTTAACGAATCGGCCTTCAATGGGTCGAGTGTCGTGTTTTCTTCTCTTCTTGTGTTGTGGACTGTATTTACTTGATTGTTGAATTATTTTGGTAACCTATGTGAAACGCGCGAGGCGTGTTACTTTCCGCAATGAAAAATTGAAAATTCTGGCGTGAAGGTATGGTATAAAAAGGTTGTGGAATGGATTGTAGAGACCGACCAATAAAAAAATGAGCCTGTGTAAGCGCTTCAAAATTGTTCGGGTGGCTAGGCAGCGGAGTAAGACGATGTGAGTTCAGGACTACTTCAATTTCAGTCACTACTGTAGAAAAATTCTCAAAATTATGTATTTTGCTGACTCTCGCCAGCATCCCATAAGCCACCATGATGGGGTGAATAGGCTGGAATGAAATGCCACTCTATGTTAATGCTAGCACCACATTTTTCCTGCAAGGCACTGTAATTTCCTTTAGGAAAGTAGCTAACTCTAGCAACTGTTTGTGGGCTCCCACAAAGTTGGTGCCATTATCACTGTAAACTTATTTAAAAGGATGCGGTACTCAGGTCTGAGACAACTTCAAGGTGCACAGTCATTGTTACGAGACAAATGAATAGAGCTATGTAACATTTAGGGCCGGTATTATAAAACACTGAACCGATGGTTGAGTTTCAACCTTCGGTTGAATCCTATCAATTTGCATGGAGTCAACCGAAGGTTGAAACTCAACCATCGGTTCAGTGTTTTATAATACCGGCCCTTAGAGACCTTGCACCCTCGCCCCTTTCGATCCTTAATTGAGAATGGACCTGCATAGTCAACTCCAACGTTGGAAAATGGCAAACTGGGGAAGTTTCTGACTCTTGGCAAATTTCCCATATGTGGATTGTAAACCTTAGAATTGAAACGACTACAAATTATACACATTATCGCACAGTTCTTTTGGCTACGTCTGTGCCAGAAATTGACCAATAGTTTTGTCGAATGTGAGACAGAAGTAGTTGAGGCCCACAATGGAGCAAATTTTTATGCTCTTGTCTAAATATTAGGGTTGTGAAATGGTGTCTTTGAGCTAGTATGGCAGGTTCTTTCGTAGTAAATGGATACGAGGAGACCTTCACCACCTACTCTGATAATGTTCTTTTTATCCATGAAGGGTGTTGAGCTGATTAGCCTACTTTTGTTGGATACAGAACCTGTTTTTTTGAGATTACGTTATTCAAAAGGAAAAGACTCAGTTTGAGCAAGCTTCAATAAAAGCTCAGAAGCATTTCGCAGTTCGAGATCAGTTAATGATCCGCTTTTTTGTGGGGAGAAAAGGGAAAAACGTTTGGTATTGTTTCAACAAAGCTATAAACAGTGTTAAGAATTTCTGGGAGCTCCTTAATGGGCAGGAGTTTTTTTCTCAGAAATATCAGTAGACCATTCGCCAAAGGACATCTTGAGCCAGGATGGTCCGTAGAACCACATACAGAAGAAGTGATAAGGTCTCTTGGAGACATTCCTCTCGACAAATACCTGCTGGATTGAATTCAGTTGGAACGTGTCTCCAGCTTTTGATTGGCGTCAAGCTTTGGATAGTGGAAACACGATTACCCACGAAAACTTATAAATTAGCTGGAGGACAGCGTAACCAGGATAGTGCCACAGTGGAATCACACCAGAAGAATGACATGTCAATTTTAAAAGTAAGACACGATTTTGCTTTATCGTTCAGTTGAGGTAGGAGCAATGCGCCACACAATTCCAAACGAGGAATGCTTATCAACTCGGGTTTTTGAAGTGAGAAGATGCACATGGACAGCGTTATTCGAATCAACTGACTTGATGTATATGCAGGCTCCATATGCACTATTCGACGCATCTGAAAACCTATGAAGCTGGATTGACTGTGGACTTGCACAAACAGTTTTTCGTGATATGTTTAAACAATTCAGTTCATGTAAATTATTTCGCAGTTCAGTCCAACATTGCGCTAAGTCTCCTGAAACTGCTTCCTCCCAGGATAGACTTTGAGACCATAGACGTTGAAGAATGATTTTTGCTTTTATTATTACTGGACTAACCAAACCAAGGGGATCATAAATTTTAGCAAGCTGAGACAGAATCAGTCGCTTTGTGATATGTTTCATAGAGGGTGATAGACCAATGCGAAAACAGAATTCATCTGATGCACTTGACCACTGCATCCCTGAAATTTTATTTGTTTCTGAGGACCCAAAAAAATACTCTTGATCTGATTTAGACGAGCTGATCTGATCCCACAATTCCTTATTATCAGCCTTCCATTTCCTCAACTCAAAACATCCTGTTTTGAAAATGTCCGAAACGTTCCTGCATAACTGCACTGCGCCTTCGACTGAATCAGGTCCCAAAAGAATATTATCGACATGAAAATCCCTTGCAATAACCTGAGCAGCGAGACGATTTGAAGTATCATTTTCAATGGCCAACTGCTTTAGGCAGCGAGTTGCTAGAAATGGTGCACTTGCAGTTCCGTACGTTACTGTGTTAAGAGAGAATGTTTTAATTTCATCCTTTGGATCCGAACGCCAAACAATCAACTGTAAAGACCGGAATTCTTTATATCTGCAGCAAAGGCAATTTGGTATTTTCGGAATTGCATGACAATTGATACTGTCATCCTGAACCACCGGACCAATCATTCGAAGCGAGTTGTATGAGAGCCTGGAACTATTAAATACCACCCTTAGCTTTGTTGTTGTACTATCCTCGTATAAGACGCCGTGATGTGTAGAATCGTACATTTATTGGTTAGCGACAGAAGAAAAAGGTGTCATGTGTTGAAGATCTTAGTACGCCTGCATACATTCTACATATATTTCTTACAATTTGGAGTTCCAGCGAGCTTTCGCTCCAATGATAGAAATTGACTGAGTGCTTGGTTGTATGATTCACCCACTACCTCTGGAGACTGTTTCAATGGGATTTAAACTATGAAACGGCCATCTGAATCACGCTCAACTGTTTCAAAGAAGTACTTCTCGGCTTGTATCTCCTCCTCAGATAGAATTGGCTAGGATAAAACCTCTTCAAGCTCCCAGAATTTACTTAAATGAGTTTGAATATCTCTCGTCCTAGAAAAATTACAAATGGAACAGTTTGAATCTGAGGTTCCGAGCGGACCCGGAATAATTCAACTCAGCTTACTATTTTGGATCACAGGCTTTCTAGAGCCCAACGATCTTCGTTCACCGCCTACCAGGTTCCAAAATATCTCTGCACCAATAAGAAGGTCAATGGGACCAGGCTCATTAAATCTTGGATCTGGGATCGAAATATGAAGTGGGCAACTGACTTGTAATTTGTGGAAGTACCAGGCAGTTAATAGTTGTTTGAGAGTTTGAATGA